GTCCAAGCATTTTTTTTCCTTTTCATACCCCCCCCCCCCCCCTCGCCCACACACACACACACAAAACAAAGTAACCAACCACATAAACAAAAAGTAATAATATGGGAAACATGTACCACTGCTGTCCACACCACAGCAGACAGATACAGAACTCCACAGGTAAATACATCACAGTCAGAGTGGAGGAGGCCTCTGTTATTGCTGGTGGCTCTGAGTCCCCGGTAGAGGACGCAGGGCAGAGTCCTAAGGAGGACGTGAATAGGGCTGACTGCCCAGGAGCTTTGAATGTGCAGCAGATGACCCAAGCAGGACGATGCCATCAGCAGGATCACACCTGAAATCTAGCAAAAGAGAAGATTCAACAATTTCTAGTCATTTTGGCAAGAACACTTTGCATAAAGTACAAAATATATCAAATATCACCAATGTAGGTGCAATAAATGTCAACTGCTTTATTTTGCAGCAAGTACTATTACAGTGCTTGGAGTGAAGACCTTTCCTAAGGAGAGTTATAAAGTGTTTACCATTGGCCATAAAAGACTTGAGAATAAGCGGGCAAGGAGTTTAGCAGGGGTGGCAAAGGTCCTGTTCACCCTCAGCACAGCCACACACTTGATGGTGAGAAGGAAGAGCATGATGCCACGCAGAGTACGGAGAAACTGTAGAGGCAAACATATCTCTGCATTCTTAAAATGTACTCTAACTACAGTGCAAACAAGCCGCTCATAATGATCGCCTCACAGGGTTTATTCTTTATTTTCCAAGAGAAGGTGCTGTAAATTTCTCTCACTTGTTCCCAGGAAGCCAGGAGTCGAACGTCCACACGGCCTCTGTGGTTGTTTCTCTCCAGCAGCTCTGCAACGCTCATGATAACAGCGGAGTGATAAATGTGACACACATAGTGCACAAGTGTCGCTGTGGGCACACCGACCTGCAAAAGACCGAAAGAGGGAGAAAGCTGCGTTCACTGTGCTTCATGGATAATTTGACCTTCAGATGATATTTCTGTGTGTTTTGCTTGTCAGGGTTGTGAGATAAACAGCCACAGGTTACTTTATCCTTCCAGTGAGGTCGTCGTGATCTTGTTTGGATTAGTGTGTGTCTGACTGAGAGCTGGTGTGTGCGCCTGCTTTATAAAGTCTTACAAATATTTATGCTGGAATGATTATTTTGTCTCGGGCAAACTTACTTCCACCCAGCTGCAAGGTGTTGTCCAGTATCCAATCAGCCCTTGCTGTCCCATACTGGACACTTGGCATGAGATTTGTATGAGAGACAAGAAGAGGAAGAGAAGCTGGTCAGAGGGGAGGAAGGAGAAAAAAATGTATTCAAATGTGTTGTAAACTTTAATTTGTAGCATCTTTTAGGACACAGTCTAAAAGTTAGTGTAGTGTTTTACCTTGCAGACCATAACAGCATAGTCCCAGGCAGTAGGAGTGTGATGTACTCTGACTGAATGGACTTCCACAGAGGGCAGCAGGACACCGGTGGGGCTCCGCTCTGCAAGCAGCGTCACACTGGTGAACAAGTTCGGTGTGGGGCTGTACAAGGTGAATTGAACCTTCAGGGCCACCGTCCGTCTGTCCAACCAGCCAGCTGAACGCAGAAGTTTCAGTTTTGATGCAGAATCAGACCTGCAGGAGAGGAGGAGAACTGCTGGTGTGATCATTATTTGGAAGCAAAAAAAGGTGAGTTAATCAACAGTTTCCATCGTGGATCTCTCACTTTGTGTGGCCTAAGCCAACTGTAGCACTTGGTCCTGAGTAACAACTAAGGCGACCGCATAGCGTTGTTGATGTCATAACAGGTACCTGGAAATTGTGAGGCAAGAAACACAACTAAAGTACAGAGACAGAATCTAGAAATCCAGATTTTACAGTGCCATTACAAGTTTAACAAATGTAAAGTACAGCATTTTTCTTAACTTATTGTGAGTACTTATAAGTGCAGGAAGTCACACATTCCTTAATGTAAGAAAATATGAATCTATCCTTCCATCAGTTCATCTTTGGTCACAAACCTCAGTTGGAGAAGTGTCAGATATTTCAATCTTCTGCAGGATTGGCTCTCCAATCACCATATGTGGCTGCTGAATGACATCAGAATGTCAAGATGTGGCGCTTTGGTTTGACTTTATGACTAATCTTAATTTTGAAGGATCAAAGAGACCTGAACACGTGGTCAGAGTTTTCTTCACCAACCTGGAGTTTTAAGTCCCTTTGGAGCTTAAAGTCATAGCTTACCTCTGTTTTGGCTGATGTGTGCTCGTACAGTGACTCTATCAGACCTGTCTGTGACCAGTTCCACCACTCCGCATGCTTTTGTATCGACATAAATGAATGATCACGGTTCCTAATAAAAGATAACATCTGATTTTTCTCTGCTTTAGAAGTAAGTGTGAATGTCAGTGAGATATACAGCAAGAGTGCGCAGGTGCTACCTCACAAAGTGTCTTCTGACAGCTCTGTTGAGCTGGTAATGGTCCCTGAATGAGCTGTCATAGGTTATACACATCATCAGGGAAAGCATAACGACGCTGAGAGACAAATCCCTGCATGAGGAGGAAAAGCACTTAAAAGTCTTACATCAAATATAGAGGGGTGCGCATGCATTCACAAAAGCACACCTCAGGGTTTTATGAATAAGAGCCTCTCTTCTTTTCCTCCTATGAGTTTTCCTCAGCTCTGCCAGAGTCGGTGGCCGTACAAGACCCAGGTACCGAGCTCGCTGTCGAGCTCGGAGCAGCTGTAAACGATAAATAACCGAGTTCACATCGCAGAAGGAAAAAAACAGAACAACATTAAACTCTATGAGCGTCTGATTATTACCTTTTTAAGGTGTGAGCGTCGTTTGTAGGGAAAAGCAGACCCAGTAAGCTGCTCTTCAGCTCCATTAATGCCTCTGTGGCTCCAAAGTTTCATAGCCTCAATATTGAATTCCCTCATTCTGAAAAAAGTATGAAAGTCTGATATTTTTCTGTGCCAACAGGAGACAGCCAAGGCCACTGCAAGTATCTGTAAAAGAAAAACATCAAGAAGATATTTTTATTTAAGGTTTGTGCCATTATTTAGTTGTGTAGCTGATTATAAAAAGCACATATTATGTTACCAAAGATGGCTGAATGATGAAGATGCAAGACATCAGGGAGATGAAAAGAGAATGGATCCAAAGCAGAACCTTGCCACTGTTAAACCTAACACATCAAAACGCACAGAGAGGCTTCAACAGCGTGACACTGACACCCGTGATACAATATCATAACAGATAAAACAGCAGACATCACAATGAACATTACTTTCACTACCTCATTCCCAGCACTGCACAGAGCACCAGGCAGGAGAGGGACAACAGCAGACACAGAGTCCAGGCCAAATAGACACGCCGCTGACATGTTGGTCTTTCTCTCAGTTTGTCATCATAATAGCTCCCTCTCTCAGAGGAAGCGTCTGGTGAACATCGTCCTTGGAGACCTTTCTCTTTTTGACCTTCATCTTTTGCCCTGGACAAACAAGCTCTTTGGGTTTCATGAAACCTGCTGCTGTCAGAAAGGAATTCAGACTGTTTTTTGTGGGGTGCTTCATCAGCATTACTGTATGAAACCGACAGGTCTGCGTCCTACAATAGAAAAAGAAAGGTCAGGCAGTGATGTTAGAAGCTGTGAGAATGAAAATGAGGAGAAATGGAAAGGAAGGGAATACAGAAACTATTCTGAGGTGTAACCTGGTATTTCTGCATCCAGGATTCATCCCACTGCTGGAGGCCGCTCCAGGAGAGACGGCGGTCAAACGTGCTGTCACTTAGTGAGAGGGGGTCTGTGAGGAGATGATGAAATAAAAGGATAATGAACAATTCAAGAAAGAAAACAACAAAATTCAAAAAGAGGTCCACATGTCCACAGAAAACCAATTTACCTTCAGAATATTCCTTTTCAGTCTTTCTGCATTTTACACGATGGACTCGTGACCCCGTTGGCTGTACCGCACGCAGGCGAAACAGGAAAGACACCGCTGTTGCTACGGGCAGCACAGCTACCACGCTTACAAGCCCATTTGTTACAGCACCAGCGGACACATCGACAAAACCCAACGCAAACAGCGGCTGCAAATACAGAATAAGTAGATGGATCATTGAGCTGTAGGTAAGGCATTTCAGAGATCTTGCTCACCAAATCTTCAACTTTGAGGGCTTTTTACCTACCTGATCATCCGTTTGTGCGACGATTACTGCACCAACACATGCGTACCCCAACAGCAGCAGCAGACACACACTTAGTCTTTCAGTATGTGTGAAGGAGCTGGGAGAGGGGCAGCTGTACACGGATACCCACGTATGGAAATCAGCCAAGTAGTCATTAAGCTTGAGACGCAGCATCTGCAATTACACAGAGGGAGACCTGGGGTGAAACAGCAGCAAATATTACATTAAGTTTTATGCCTAGTGTAGATTAACTCACTGTGACGACGCCTTGTGTGCAAACAGAGAAGCCGAAAATAGTTTTTATGTGAACATGAGTGTTGTACCTGAGCAAAGTTTATCCCCTGAGTGCAAACACGCAGCATCCTCTCCACTCGGCCATCGCCTTTGCTCGCAGCCAGCCAGCACTGGGCAGCAAACAGCCAAGAGCATCCCACCACATGCCCTCTGAGCACCTGAATAACAAGTCAAACCGCCTTAAAAGTCCACTCATCAATGAAAAGGTGTGTTCACAAACAGTTTTTGTTATAGTATTTTTTTTATTACCTCAGATACCTCCACCTGTGTAAGGTACCAATCAGGGGAAGGTCCAGAGTTGTCATGCCAGATGTGAACCCCCCACACTGGGCCCAGGCTTTCTGCTGCACTGTGGGGGAGCAAAGACACAGAGATTATAGCACGTGGTAATGAAACATTACACTGATTTATCTCCCTTTTTCTTACATATTGAACACAAACACAAAGAAAAAAATCTTGTTTCTAAATCACTGAGGATTTTACCTAAGTATGAAGGTCTCTTTAGAGTTCCTCCTGAACAGAGTGCATCCTGGGACTTGTAGTTCTTTTGTCTGTGAGAACCCATCTTCACCATACAGTGATATGTACACCTGGTCAATATATAAAGATTAAAAAACAAAACAAAACATTAGTTTGGGAAGCAAAACTTTTAAAAACGTTTTTTATGTGATTAATTCTCTTACACTAATCCATAACATGTTCTGAATTAGTGTACGAAAAATATTCAGATAATTTAATAAAGCATGTCAAACGGCATCAGGTGCTGCAGAATGAGGAGTGTTACAGTTTATCTGCTTTACCTGCTCTGTATGAAGGGAATAGTATGTGGAAAACAATGGGAAAATGGGAAAAAAGACAACAAAAAATGAAATACACAAATACAGTGGCCATAAGGATCCAGGAGGAGCATATTTTGAGAACAGCTAAATACCAAAGGAGCTGATAAGTTTGAAAGAAACCAAAAACAGCCCTGCCTTTGCACTCATACGGGCTGCAGAGCTGAGACCTGTGCGGGTTGTAACTGCGTAGAGATACGGATCAGATGCAGAGTTGTCAGACAGGTAGTGAACCCTTTGACTTTGCGTGGCAACAACATCAGCTCTTTTACACGCCGCCAACCCCGCGAAGTACAGGCACACGAACAGCAACAGCATGCCCAGCACTGTCAGATCGGTGGATGCACTGAGGTTTCAGAGAAGCAAAGAGAAGGAGAGAGACGCCTTAGAGGATGCGTTAAATATCAACACTAATGTTATATTTCTATTTTTCATCTACATTTTGTTTGCAAAAGAAACTTAGCTTCAACAGGTCAAGAGGTTGATATATTTAAAAATACAAATAAAAGAAAAATCTAGCAATCCTGTTTCATTTTATTACGTTTCAAACCTGATGAGCAAAAAAATCCTACTGTTTCTTTCTCCCCCCCCCCCCCCCCTTTTTTTTTTTTTGGGTAAAGTACATGTAAAAATATTTTTGTTATTTTCCAGGTCTCAGTTGGTCACCTTAGGAACGAGTTCACATCTGCTGTGCTGTGGATGCTCTGGATCTGTTGCTGCTTCACGGTCAGCGGTCTCAAACGGTGGCAGCTAGGATTCAGCAAATATAAAGAAGCATGTTAATCACCTCTGCATCCAGATTTGTCCTCTAGTGTGTGTTTGTTTTCTTATATTCTCACACACAGACACACTCACATGCTTTACCTGCAGCTGACAGCTGAATCTGTGTCTGCTAGCTGTGTCCTGCAGCCCTGATGTGTCCAGGCCCCCTGCTGGCCGTCCCAGGACAAACACAGACTGCTGTCCACTGTCAGACTGTAGCTTATCTCTTCAGTCAGGTGATTGGCTCTGGGTGCTTTACCAAAATCAGCATTAAGCAGTGCCAAGTGACCAACACCTGCAGCTGGAAGTTTTGGAAATTTGTTACAATATTTCCCAGCGAACTTACTCAAAGCACGTACATGTTAGAAAGATGACTTGACTGACTCATACTACTGAGCTAAAACATACATGGATCAATTGATTTCTATTAAGTTTAATTGAGATTCTGGGTAGATTTTTCACTCGACAAATAGATGATCAGTCTTAAAAATACTTTGTAAAAGGACAGAGAATTTAACAGAAGGAAAGACAAGGAGGGCAGAAGAGTCAGAAACAGAAAATGGTCTTACCGCTGAGGTAGGATGAGGGCAGAGTGATGCGTGAGGTGTTGCTCTCGCACCTGTAAATCTTGTGCAGATGATGCATTCTAGGAGTCGGCTTTTCAAACATCCTGATACAGTGGACACTCACGGTTAGATATGTGCCACAGTCTCACCTTTCAGTCAAAACTCATTCAAATTATTCTGTTATTATCTGAGTATGAGTATAACACGGTGCTGTAATAATACCTGAAGAGCACCATGAGGGGAAACGCCTTTTTGGTTGTGGGTCTGAACACTAGATTGAGCTGGATGGACTGCAGCAAGTGTTCCTGGGTAATGTTGAAGCTGTGGTAGTTGACCCGGCTGCGCAGGAGGGTAAACTCCCACGAAGAGCTTTTCTGCAGCAGAAATGCAGTCTCGTGTTGTTGGAGTAAAGATACAACACTGCGCGTTTTAAGAATTTCTTTTAACAAAATCTTATTATGAAGAACCTCTCATTTTCCACAAACAAAAGAAAAGGACGATCAGCAGCTCACGTTTCTTTGTGTGTGACGAAGCTCGGTGTTGAATGGTTGAATGAGGGAGGAAACGTGGATCCTTCTCCTCGTGTTGCACTTGTAAAGACTTAGGTCAACCACTGGTCCACTTAACTGGAAATCCAAAGAACAAGTAAGAGAGATGTCTCACCTTTAACCCTGTTAAGCTGAACCATGAAATAACTGGTAGAAAATGTATCGTTCACAGTTTATGTTAAACAAACAAAACCGATAAAGGGGTTAGAGTTAGAGTTAAAAGTCTCACTGATGGTATAGATGTTAAATCACTGTATGTGCAACTACTGAGCAGGTCTCACCTGTGTAGGATTGGCCCAGGTGTAAGGACTGTGAGCAAGCTCGGTGAGCACAGTGAGGACACACGGTCCATGCTGGAGAAACAGAATCTGGATGAAAGAAGCAGGCATGTAGACCCTGACTGAGCCACTGTTTATGACTGTGGAGGTGTTGTTTTGGGATGCAGCATACAAATTAATGAGGCTGCTGCTAACTCTGTGCTCCTTGGTCTCATAAAACAAAATGTACTTCTGGAAAACAAAAAAAGGAGGATGAATTTCATTAAAAAACTAAAACTGTGGAGAAATAGTTTTAAATGTGTTTTGTCTCACCAGCATGAGCTCTGACGCAGCCTGCAGAATATCAGCTACGAGCATCACCGCTTGCTTTGCTGGAGGTGAACTTCCTTGTTTGATGTGGCCACTGGTGGATGAGTTCACTGCAGTGCTGTTTGGAGTGTTTTCATCATTTCTTAGGTTTCCATCAGCAGTTGAGTCTTCTTGTGTAATGTCAGGTGTGAAGGTGCAAGTAGTCACCACCTGAAGGCTGCGTGAAAGCAGGGTGAGCGCTGTATTGAGCACCTTCTGGTTTATAATGTAGCGGCGATAAGCGCTAGACGCAGAAAACTGCTCGGACATCATCTGAATGTGAGCTGTTACTCGTTTGGCACTTGCTAGTGTCACCTAAAAGGAATAAAGGAAGTATTAGAAACAATCTAGCATCTACAAGCCTGCTCCCAGTTTGGTTTTGTGAGTCCAACCACTCACCTGACTTGTAACTCGTAGCAGGTCGTTCAGAATGCAAATATTGTCTGTCATTGACACCTAGAATGGAAACATAACTGAATGATTAACAGTAAATGGACTGGTTCTTATACAGCACTTTTCTACTCTACATCAGCACTCCAAGCACTTTATACAACATGCCTCAACCATAAAAACACTTTCCTTTTTGATAAAGCTTATAGTTAGGACTGGATCAGGTGGCCCTGAACCTTCTCTTAGTTATGCTGCAGTACACTAGGACTGCTGGGGGCATCCCATTATGCACTGGGTGTGTCTTCTTCATTCACCTCCACCTGTTTATACACCAGTATTGCATTCAGAAGCTTAAACGAGCATTGATTCTTAGTTGTCTTTTGCTCTCTTCTCTTTCCTTCTCTTTCCCCTCAGAGCCACATGAGATGCTTGATTTTTCTTTTCTTTGATCAAAAGTTGATTTTAATGCTACCGCTCTTCCTCCCAGAGAGGCGGGGCTGTAAAACAGAAAAAGAACATTGTTGTGTTTTATCACTCGTGCTGTCGGTGTGTTTACCTGATCGCTGCTCTCAAGCTCACACAAGGTGCGAATGAGCACAGTGCGCATGTGCGTCTGTGCATGTGTGTTGGCCTCTGTTTCCAGGCTGAGTCTGTTCAGGATGCTGGTGAGGAGGCTGATGTAGTTACGAATCTCCACACTGTTCCCAAGCTGCACCAAAGCCGACAGGTTCCTCAGACCTGACTCCGACCTGGAGATGGTGAAAGTAAGGATTTGCATGTTCTATAGAATCTATATTATTGTTGACTTGCTCAGATTGATGCTTTGTAGTTTAACACACACAGTCGTTCTTAACAGCAGCTTTTTGGCTGACAGCATAAAATCCCAGTGCTATTTAAATCACCAGCAGGCCCTCTTAAGTAGACAGCATGAGACATCTGCATATCATATCATCATAATGTGATCACATGGGGGTTCTTACAGCTCAAGATCAGGATCATGATGGGAAGAGGAAGATGAGGCGTCTCTGAGGAAGCTTGGTTGGACTTGCACTGTGACAGGACAGGGTTTGGTGGCTGACCCATACGTGCTGCTTCTTATTTCTGTGTAAATAGTTACTGCGGCGACAACAGTAATAAGAGCAATAAAAAAATAAGGAAATATTAGAAAAATAATAATTCTGTTAATGCTCCTTAAGCAACAGTGTGTCTTTGTGTGTTTACCTTTATAGTCATCCCTGGGGTCACCTGAAGGAAGGCTGAAATAGTATTGGAAGTCTCTCCCCTGGTACAGTGTCCTGGGGAGTCGGTCTCCTACACTGAAGCTGTACTCATACACTAAGTCCTTTGGCACACACACACACACACACACACACACACACACACATTTCTGTGAAGACTGACATGCCAGGACCAAGGTCAAAAAATTTGGGGTGATCAATTAGTAAAATTATGGAGTCAAGGAGAGCCCTGAAGAGGTTTACTTCAATCACTGGCAGACAGCTCCGAACTTCAAGCACTGAGTGACAATGTCTTGTAACAAAAATGCACTTTGAAAATCTTTAATCAAAGCAGGAAGAGTGTTAAAAGCATGCAACGGGAAATACCTCCTTCCCTGAGGTGCAGAAGATGCTGAAGTGTGTGTGTAACTCGAGTCCTCTGACAGGCTGCACCTGGCACGCCAAGCCCTCTGGGACAGGATTGGTCTGTAAGAACAGCTGAGTCCGGCCCACACGCCTGCTCTGAGATTCTCAATTCATCAGACAACAATCGAGAGGATCATTAACAGACGGAGACTGACTTTAAAGGCAATGTGGGCATTTTAATGTTCAAGTTAAAGTACTGCAGTAAAATGTAAAAAATAATATATGTCTGTGATTTTGGCCTTTTGTCCCATTATCCTGTTTTATAAATCTCTAATAACTCTCGCCTGGGCTGGTCTATATGTAGCCATCCCAAACTTACTGGCAGTGACCTCCAACATGTATCTGCTCCTGGGCCTCAGACTGAAGGGCTTGATCTTGAGAAAAGAACAGGAGATTCCTGTAGAGATTTTTAAAAGGGGAAAAAAAAGATGGCTAAATGCTGACACAGTGGCAGAGAAGCAGGAATTTTTCTGCATAATGTACCTGTGTAAGTAAAGGACTCAAAGAGGCCTCTGTTCAGAGGGTTTCGAGGTAAGTCGAGCAAAGTCGGTGCCTGAATTGCCACAAAAGGCTTAGAATCCACTAGATTACTCCCTTCATCTTTGTGTAATCCCATATCAAACATCAAGACGTCTCCTGCACTGAAGCTCTCACCATCTTCACCTGGGAACGATCGTGAGTGAGTACCAGTAAAAACCATCTCAGATAAGAAATAAACAGTGATCGTAGATATGAAGTGTACCTCTGGGTCTCCCTGCTGACATCCCTGGGTCGCCTTCCTCTGTGTTTGGAAAGGGAGCACCATAATCTGGATCTGTAACAGAACCAGCTTTAGTGCAATAATAATAACAGTCAAGCAACATAATATTGCCCCATATAACTGAAAAATATTCTTTATATTTGGAAAAAGTTATTTATTTATGATGGGAATTTTCTTCATGGTGGTTCCAGGCTCTTTCACAAACTGTATTTTTATTGTAATTTAATCAGTTTAGATTGTGCTAACAGCATCAAATTATATATAACTTAAATAGACTGAGCTTATATGGCGATTTTAGATTTTCTCACCTAGTCGACCACTCGCATTGCCACTCTCCAGAACACGAAAAGAAAAGTCCCAGTCGGCAGAGGAGTCAGGCTCCACTGAAATTTCACTGCTAATGTCCCCTTGGATCAAGTAGTCGGAATATAAGACACCATCATTGTTGAGAACACGTGGACTAGACTCTGGCAAACCTGCGGGGTGAGGAAAGAAGTCACATTTAGTGACAGAGTGGTACGCTCCAAGTCATATATATATATTTGTTTATACAGCTAATAGCACACCAGCTTTGTCTGATGTGTCTCCACTCCTGTTTGTTGATGCCCCACTATCAGCCAGGTCCACATCACCCTTTCTGGTTTCAAAGGTAGCCACGGTAACGGGTGAAGAAGATGAATAAGGGGTCGTCTGGGTGTTCTGTGACACATTTGTAACAGGAAGGTGTAGAGTAGAGGTGGCAGGACTTTCCATGATGGCAGACATGGTGCTGAGATCTACTGTGTAGCAAAACGGGACTAGAATAGAACACAAGATTTTCTTAATTTAATTTCCATTTTTAGGCAAATTTTTGGGGGAATTTTCTTGCAAAGTGGCACTGAATTTACCTTCTGTGAAAGGCTTGGATGAAGCATTGACCAGGAACAGACTCCAGGTGTACTGGATGTGCTGTGCAGGAATGTGGCAGTCTTCACACACGGCACCGACAGAGAACGACTGATCCCAGTTCACACGGTCTCCCCGACACTCAGGGCAGTAAATGGACAGCTTCCTGGATCGGATGCATTTAGGCGCATGTTAAACGTCACTTAAGAATTAAAGTGCTGCTTTTAATCAAACACTTCTATTTGATTCTGTTCGGTTATATGATTCAATTGAGACTTTATGAAGAGGTCACACCCGACGAGGTTTGATGTTACAGTGAGGAAGGTCTCTGATGAAGCTGAACGCTCTCCGCTTTGGACAGTGAGCGTGAACTGGAACTGGTCAAAGTTGGTTTTTAAGAAGCTGGCAGGAAATTTGAGCACCGGCGACGAAGTGGGAATGTGCTGGTTGAAGCAGGAGCTGGTGATGGTGCTCACTGGTTTACATGCCCAACTGTAGCTATACAGAGAAAATCAGAAATTCTGTTAACTTCCAAACACACATTAAATTTCTCAAGGTGAAACAAATACAACTAAAAATGACTAAGATGTAGGAAAATCCACCAAAATATAATATTTACATATTTATTGGCAATTTTTGCCATTTATTTAGTTATAGCTGAGCCCAATGTTGGCAACTTTTGGCAATTACAGCTCAGATATGCCACTGGCAAATGTTGTGTGGGCCAGACATGCAGCCGAAGGACTTTGAAAAAACAAATGAGACTCTAGGCACCCAAACTGCAACACAGAGACGAGAAACAATAGCTTTCTGCGGACACAGCTCACTAACCAGCTTCAGAAGGAGCGGATCTGGAGAGCGCAGCTAAGTGAGCAGCTGCAGCAACAGGAACACACCCATCATGAACTGCTCAAGGCAGAGGAAAAGTCTCACGCTATAGGACAAACTGAATTTTGATCCAGGAGTTAAATAGTGAGTAAGATACCCTCAGTCAGGAGGAGGACCTAAAAAGCAAAATCTCAGCAAACCTTGAGCTGAACACTAAACTTACAGCAGAGGTAGTGGTGAGAATGGGAACGCGACCACTTCCATAAACATTTAAAACCAGAGGAAAATGAACATTCTTATCTGTTTTTCCTCATTGAGGCAAAATCTTCTGGCTTGTTGCCTATTAAAGGTGTCAGGGCTCAATTTCTACCTGAGTGGGTTCGTGGGGAAGTCAGGGTCATAAGATGCCTGCCCATCCAGGGTTACTATGGTGTTCCTGTTGTTAAGGAAGATGTTGGTGCCACCCTGGATGAAAGCCACAGGAGGGCTCGGCATCACCTGAACCTTTACGCTGTAGTTACTGTACACCACACTGCCGACGACCTGAACCTGCAGGAGAAACACAAGCCTCGATCATTCGTAATAATAGTATAGCAACAGAAATAACGACTTGAAATGGAGAGACCGGCCGTTAAATAGTTCTTCTGTATTATTGTATTATTATTACACACCCTGGCTGTAGCCGTATAAGTATCATACTCCAGGAGATGGCTTTGCACTATGAGGATCTGCCTGTGTGTGTCTGTGAGAGGCAGCAGCACTGCCTGGCCTGCAGAGTCACATAAAGTCCAGGAGTAGCGCAGGCCTCTTGATACATCACAATCCACTTCCGTTTCGTACGTCACACCCAGATGGACAGCCTCATATCTTCGTACCTAGGTGCAAAGAGAAGGTTGTATTGTCTTTTATTAACTACGCTCCGCCATAGTGTACTTGTGAGGTCTGGACAAAGAGCTACCTGTAGTTTAAGAGGCCCCATGTTTTTGACAGGTGGAGGCTGACAAGGCTGGTCCACAACAAAGATGCGGCTGCTCAGGGAAGCAGAGCTGACCAGGTTAGATGCCGTCACTTCGACTCTGAACTCTCCCGTTCTGGGGAGGAAAAACATGTTTATTAAGCACACTTGTGTTAGGCTACATGTAATTTTCATATTTATCTGAAAGACAGCGAGACATACTAACAAGTTTGTAAAAGGAAAATACAAAATTAGAGAATCTTAATCCCAACTTAATCTAAACTTAAAGTTCGATTTGAGTTTACAAGGAGAATGAAAGCCCAAAGTCTTGTTAAACTCTCTGACTCACCTGTGGAAGATATGCCGTTCTGTGCTCTGTCCAGACCGGCTTGTTCCATCCCCAAAGCTCCACAGGAAGTTGATGTCGGTCCCCATATTTACCCGGCAACTGAACACCACTGTATGATTCTGCAAAACCGAGGCCCGGTGGACCAACCTGTTGAGCTTCACTGTTCTCTGGACTACCACCGGGAACATGTCAGAGGTAACGGCCATCTTACCATGTGACATGATTACAGACACATTATACCTATGGTGATGAAAGGTGGGATTTGAGAGGGGTTAGTTTAATTCACATGGTGTTTGATTTATTTAATCATATTTTATTTAGAACCTGTTGAGCTATCGTGTTTAGAGACACAATGACACACAAATGCTACCAAAAACACAACCTCCTTGGTGCACGTAATAATGTGGGGATGAAGAACGTTTTTTTAGCGTTAGAAGACTTGAGAAGCACCAACCAACAGAGGCTGGGTGATGCTAGTTGTTTGCCAGTTTCTGTTATGACTGTTAGATTACAAGTTAAAATTTATGCATGTAAACCAACTTCACATGTTTTACCCTTGTGACAGTTTTGTTGACTTTTTTTTTAACTGTCAGGATTTGAAAAACAAAACGTATGTAACCTTGTCCGTGGATGAACACTTTTTAAGCTCTGGCTTATTTAAAAAAATCTCCAATTATTTTATTTTAAAAATGCTGCACATGCCTCGCTATTACCTGCCAGGCTTTAGGTATTTTCTAGTGATGGTCCTAGAGGTAGTTGTGGCTGATGTGTAGTCTCCAAAGTGCCAGACGAACACTGGATCTGGTACGTCAGTCACAGCTTGGAAGATTATATCTGTATTTGTTGGATATGCTTGCCTTGCTGCAAAAATCCTCACAGCTAAGGATAAGAGACACACATGGTCATTACAGATAAATCACACCAAAGATAATGACACTAATTAAAGATAACAACAACAACAAAAAAAGACAGAAACATTTGCCATCAGTGCTGTGACTCCTCGGTGGTTACCGTTTTAGATTTAGTCTCACTTGTGGTGACAGCTTCCTGTTCTTTGTACACACTCTCACACCTCAAGTAAAACACTTGATTCTCAGCCTGACGCTCAAATGCAACCGTCCTAGTGTGGTTGAAAAGCTAAACCGTGACCACTTCCTGTGCTCCTGTCATGTAGCTGCATTTCCTGTACAGCAGTGATGAGCTCACCAGCAGCGAGGCACGTTTGACCCCGGTGCACCTCTAAAATAAAACCTAATGCTTTTGAATACCTAACTCCAGGTCTCCAACTGGATCTTGACTCCAATCTGTGTTTGAAAACAAAGCTGACTGTGTGGGTTAAAGGCCTGTGATAGAAACATCCCCATTCCACAGTTGCCCTGTTTATCACAGCAACGTGACTGAAAATAACACCTTGAATAATTCGCGACCCCACGTGCCTGGCCTAGCATGACCTCCCATGGATGACTTCTGAATGTACGGATGCATGAACTCCTAGTAGGCCTCGAGACACCACTGATGAATGATGGCGGTGGAGAGGATCAGTGCTGTGAGGTGATACTGTCCTACAGCAGTGGCGATTGAGTGCAAATTGCAGCTGGAGTGGGCGGAGGTGTGAAGGTTATCGAGGTTTGACGTGTGAGGGTACCGCCGTGCCAACAAACGAGATTGTAAGCATATGTGATGCTGCCATGGTCGCTCTCATAGGCGGGGGCTACATTTAGTGTGAGGCTGAGGACAAGCAGGTGTTTCATGGTGGTGAGCAGCTCTCACAGAAACAATCTCACCTGAAGTTAAATGATTCCCACACAAGATCCCTTTAAGGTGAGAGCAGCCGGGAGATAAGACCACCTGCAAGACCACACGACCACATACAGAAAGCACACACACAAAGGCACACACCAATGTGAGATTAAAGGATATCTCCGTTCATATTTGATTTTTCTTCTCATCGAAGAAGGAACACAATGAGCATAAATGCTTTTAAAATCTTGTATCTCTTATTTCCTGCGGATTTATAGCAGATTTATGGTGTTGGCTACTGCTTAATTAATGTTTGAACACTTAACCTTCTACTTTATCTCAGTTTGAACACACCAGTGGCTCTGAATGAACAAACTAAGCTCTGATGAGCTTTGATGAGCTTTAATGAGCACATCAAGGTTGGCTTATGCTCTTTTCCCTGTCACCGTAGAAGAGTTGTGTAATGACTCACAAATACGTAGTTATGCTAATCAGTAATTTTGAGTATTATGCACATTTTGCACATTCAGCATACTGAGCTGTGACTCCTAAATAACCAGGAAGCGAGTAATAAAACCTGAATAAAAGTTTCATTAAGAGCTTTTTTCTTTGTTGCGTTTTTTCCAAGATTTTTAGTTTATTATTTATATGTTATGATTCTTTTGGAAAAACTCTAGATGCAAGTGGTTTAAAAAAAAGAGTTACTGGATTTACCAGATGAGTATTAATCTAAAGAAAAGGTTTTTTAAAAAATACATTTAAAAAATACATAAAATACATGAAAAACAGGGCAAAAACATCCAAAATTATTTATCATATATGTTGAATGTTCAGTTATTTTATATTTTTTGGTTGTTTCGTTTTTCTTTTTTTTTAAGCTAACATGCACAGCTGATAAAATTCTTTGAAAAGCTGACAATTCAAGTGAGCAAAACATCTTTCTTATATATATTTTAGATATATAATATTTTTATATTAATATTTTCTTGCTGGAAAATAAATAACAAACAGGCCAAACTGCGTATATGAGCTTAACATAATAAACACATAAATCAATTTACCATTATAAATCCCCAAATAGCTATTTTCTTTTAAAGCCAAACCTGACAAGTTAATTAATTTAGACTCATTTATAAGTTATTGTTGTGTGACTTACCACTGTGCTGTTCAGACAGTGTGGCTGTGAAGGGGAAGCTGTTTCTTCTTCCCTGTGAGTAAAGCACCAGCAGAACTCAGCTGCTAATCCGTCACTCACAAACGCCTGCAGAGTGATGGGATCGGCCCGATATGCAGCCACACCCTCAGTCACACCGTCAGAGTCCAAGTGAGCCGTGGGGATACAGGAGGGAACATTCAGGGGGCCGTGGAGCAAAGACACCGTTAGGTTCCCTGGAAAGGGTGGCAAAATGTACAAGTGGAGGGTGGAGGAGAGTGTGGAGAGAGGGTTGGAAACGGTGATGTCTAAAAAGAAAACAGAAGACAAAAAATACAAACAGAGCAGACAGGATTACTCATACATGATCCTTTTCTTGATTAATTAACTGATGAAAAAATCCCCAGCAAACACATTAAATTTTCTCTGGTGAACTTACTTATTTCGTATTTGCCTGCAACATTCAAAATCCAATCGGATGACACAGTAAAGGAGCCATCATCCGTCACGTTGACCTTTAGGGTCATTCCCAGAGACTCCACAGTGACATAGGTCAGGGCCTGGCTGCTAAGACCCAGGATGCCTGGAAATCACACAAATAATCATGTAAAGGATAAAAAAAAAGAGCTTTGATATAAAGTGCTTAAAATTCTACAAATCGTGGAAATAATACACAAATATTCAGAGGTTATTAGCATATATTCCAACATACTTAAACTCATTAACAAGCATCAGTACAGTCCATTAACTTTCTGAATAAAGCATTGTCTAGCAACTATACAGAAAATTTCGGTTTCTCAACAAAAGAAAAACAATCAAAATAATTTAAAAACCTATTTATTTGCAATACATTGTAAGTAATTTTCATTCAAATTCTTCAAATTATATTACGTTTAAATGTACAATATATATCAAACATTTAACACATACTAGATACTTGTAATGACTTCACACCATACAACTGTAACAACAAAAATGTGTCTTATGTTTGATGTTGCTTGTTCAGTTTCTGTTGAAACACGTAATACATTTTGATAAGTATAATTGTTTTTAAGGAAACATTTAAATCTAAATTAAAAAATAAAGAATGGAAAAAAGACTGAAAAAAACATTTTAAATACTGAGTTTACAGATCCCGTCTGCCTGTGTGAAAACATGAATAATATTACTTGCAATAATTTATATCAAGAAATAATATGATATAATAATAAAAGTCCAATTTATAGAAGCCAAAACTACAAGTTCAACATTGTGTGAGACCACAGAAAATACACAGTGGGATAAAAGTAAATTAAATTAAAACAATTTCAGATACAGATACGCAAATAATACCTGACAGTGGAAACTAATAATTAATGCATTCTCCTAGTTGAAAGCACGGGGGGTGAAGAGTTGCATTTCAAAGAACTTCATTGTTATAAAACACTGCAGCAGCTGACCTGGCGGCTGATTGGAACGTCCAGCGAGGTTTCCTTTCACTTCAATGACAAAAGTCTTCCCAGCCTCCAGTCTTGCTGGAGAAGTAAATACACTAATGTTGTGCAAAAATGGCCCTTCAGTTCTGTAGAGCGCCATGCTTCCATCTTGTGCTTTTCCAAGAGGTAAGTTCAAGGTACTGGAAGAGAAAAGAAGTTATCCAGGACAAAAAGCTTCTTGCTTTAAGCTTTTAAAATGTGCTTTAGTGATGACACGACAACACAAGTTTAAAAGAGAAGAGAAGCGGCAGCTATAGTTAGACATCAAAAGCAAAAGAAAGCAATCTGCTACCTCACCTTTGTCTTTCACTTCCTCCTTTCACATCCTTTGTTCCTTCACTGGGAGATGTCTTGAAACACTCTCTAAACACCAAACCACTGAGCTGGTTCCCACAGTAACAGGTCTGTGAAGACAATGCAGCAACTCCATACCTTCCAGAAAAAACACAGTGAAGGTTAGTGTTTTACATACTGAGAGCACATGTCACATGTCAGATAAGCCTTTGTTGGTATTCTAATATATGATGCTTTAAAATTCTGTTACATCTTCTTGAAAACAGCACTTTTGCTATATATACATATATATTCTTTGTTTGTTTGTTTTCTGTATTAGAGATTTGCTATTGGGAATTTTTTTTATTCACAAATTTTATTCATAAATTTAAAAATATTTTTGTAATTTCTTAAATTATTTCAGGATGAGAATAGATTAAGATTTCTGAGAGTTTATTTTTAAGTGCTTTTACACACAACAGATGATGGCTCAAATATGCAATAATAAAAGGTTGCTATAAAAATTTGAATATTTATTTAACCTGTTACTGTCACCACTGTCAAACAATTTCAGACAAGCATCCAAATTTCATCTTCATCTGTAATGCCCCCTGACCCGGAAAGCTCTTTTAGCATTTCCCCACCAGCTCACCCCTCATCCAAGCAGTGTGCAGAGCAGGCTACCGGGTCAAGGTCACGGGCACCGACACCCGTGGGTCCGTGAAATCCGAGGGAAGAGCTCGCGCTGACGCATCCGATGAACCAGGGTGAACTCTGCTGACCTGATGAGGAGGCCAACGCGGACAAGGAGTGCAGTGCAAAGAAGACAAAAGCGCGGAGCATGACTGCTCGGACACGGGCCTCGACTATAGAGCGAAACTCGGGATGAACTGTGATTGAGGAGGACGCTTCAAGTGGGAGAGAACGAGAGAACAGGAGAGAGGAGCAGGTGCACCGAGACCTGCAACTGTGCATACAAGGTGTGTGGGAGGTGTGAACACAGAGGGTAACTGTATGCAAATAATGGGTCAAAGACCACGTGAGGGAGGAGAGAGATCGCTTTAATGATCGGGAATCTAACAGAAAATCACGGCCTTTTCTTGCTATGCAGGAAACACTATTGTTGTTATTACTAAGTTTAAGGCGCGTGTTACCCTTCTAGTTATTTAAAGGTGAAGGCTCAGGTGCCCTGCACCTGCATGTGTGAAGATGGAGTGATCCCCGACTTGCCTTTGCTAATAATTTGTGCAAAGCTTAAGGATGTTTTTGAATTTAAATACGAGAGCAGCTGCTTCGGAAGCATCAAAATGCCCGTTGCAAAATAATAATAATAACACTGTTAGATTTTAATGCAGCAACGCATGTCTGCTGCGGTGTAAGGTCACATGTCAGTGACACCCAATGGCTGGGTGTTTTACTGGAGTATGAGACTTGCATCAAATAAAGCCTCTGCAGCGATCTGAACTGCTGCTTCGTTTGTGGCCAACAAAGCAGCATCATGCGGCCTTTAAGGCAGAAAACTGAGACTACGTTAAATGGAAAGCCGCAGTGAGAGAGAGGAACGGGAGGTGTTTGCTTGGTTTTATTCCAAAGATCCGGCACCACGATCATAAGAATTCTGCTTGACACTGAATTAAACTGCACTAAGCTCAGGTGGCCTAAAGCGACCTGGTCACATGTTTCACGTACAGGTTATAACATTTACTGAGCCATTAGACACTCAGTGCCTTTTAGTGATTTGATGCCCAGCAGCCCCTTTTTCTCAAGCGAACTGATCCAGAGGATGTCTCCAGACTCGTTTCTCCTCTGTCACCAGAATTCCAAACAAAGGACAGAATTCCAAAGTAATCACATGTCATTGTTTTATTGTGAGAATGAGACGCTAGTTTATATTCTGAAGAAGCAGCCTTGAATCACCTGCCAGACGGCTTGAAACTGGTCGTTAGACAGACGACGCTCGACGCCAGATCACATTAAAAAACATAAATATTAACCTTATTAAGCATTAGATTCGAAGTCTAATGTGGGCTACACGTGTAGCTTTATTTTAAATTACACAAGTAAAATGGAAACACGGGGACAGGTACTACAGAGAACTGTGTGGTGTCTCAGGCTGTCCCCTCTGCTCAGGTTAGGTTCGTCATTTATTTGGTTAACTGAAATAAATTCCAAATGCTCGCGTTAAACTGGTAAATTTAAATGAAATCTCACCAGCAGTGATAATTTTGTGCTAAGTTTGAGAAGTCTAAGGTTGTCAGCTCGGACACGAGACAAAGCGTCCTCTCAGTGGGTTTATTTTATCTGAGCTGTCACGCCGAAAAGGGCAAAACCACGACGGAACCGGTGTGACTCTTCGGAGTCCAGCTTTGCCCGTGAGCCCTTTTGCTGCAAACCAAGTCTGCGTCGTGTAGCTAACTCCGCCGGTCCACCTTAAAAAGCTCTTCCGGTTTGTTCGACATCCCCTTTAAGAGAAATTCCCAGGGCTTGAAGTTAGCGGCAGGGGGCGCTGTCAGACCGTGCCATCTCTCCATGAGTGGAGGAATCAAACACATTTCTCTCAGAGTATTTTCATACTGAAAACGCGCACTTTGTTCTGCGATTTCGTTTCATCTCGTCACTCAGGGGTCCCCAGAAGTTTTTGCACCGTTAACACATCACGGAGGCATGCACGTGGAACCCTAGAAACCGGAACTAATTTTGGCTTATCTTATTCCACCCCCCAAAAAACAACAAAACAAAACAAAACCCAACCTGTGGTACTTTATATTAATGAGTGAGCTGTGTGTGATAGTGAAGCAGCTCCGCGGGTGAAGCTTAATTTGGGATCTTCAAATCGAAGTGGGGTTGATTCACGTGAATTAATTAAGCTGCAACGAAAACGTGTTACATGCTTTATGCTTTGGCCACCTCCCCTCCTCCTCCTCGTGCACCTCTGAAGACCCAAAAGTCCCCACTGATCACACACTGAGACACATTTTTCGAATCAAACCCTAAAAATCAGTGGTGGCGACGCTGCGTAATACCCCGCTGTAGACCCGGGTGAATCGGGAACCCTCCCGCCCCCTTTTTTCATTCGTTATTCACGTGCCTTCCCTTCCCTGCGAAACATTTAACACTTGATCAGAAAACGAAATATTCTCGAGGACCGGCCGTGTAACGGAGAGTCCTCCTGAACGGGCGAAGCGTTATGTAAGCGGCTGCAGCTTTGCGCCCCCACCGAGGAGGACACGGAGCGGAGAAAATAGCACGGCTGACTCCGGGAGACTGGAGCCTCTCGAGGTGGAGCGATGATGAAAATAGATTGTGTCTCAGTGATGTTGGGTTAGGGGTGCGGAGGAGGGATGACAACTCAGTCACTTTTTTCTTTTTTCTTTTTCTTTTAAATTTGCGCACAACTGAGCGCATTCATTTGAAGGCAGTGCGCAATGAAACTGCATAACAGAGCAGATCACCCCATGATAATGTCAGACTTTCTTTCCGGGTGTTCAAAGCTCATAAAAAATAGTATTACGTTATCGTGTGGTGAGAGGAGACAGTCGAAGCACTGCTTCTAGCTCTAAATGATGTTTCCTGCTTAGTTCTCCCAAATATAGACCTGACAGTGGTTGCCTGGTTCTTTGCGCTTCCTTTTTTGTAGCCATTTTATTTCTCATTTTATAGAGGAATATTAACCCAGGACAGCCCATAATTTGGCTAGACTTTCATCAAATTGCATTAAATATTCTAGTTTATAAATCTTTAGGATTCAAAAAGGCCTGCACTCAACAGACTCCAGTGACTTTTGTTATAGCAGATACAACAACTGTGCTTTTTTTCTTTTCCTTTTCTTTTTTAATCAATTTAAGTTTGAGAAAGCTGCCCTGACTGAGTCAAGGATTTCCCCCCGCCAGTATATTTTCCTGAAATGGAAACCAGACCACAGATCATTCATTAAATTAAGCAATTTGTGAGCCAGCCTGTTGTAGGTTGAAGGGGGCTCAGGTGTGGCCACAGTGCTTCCCAATTCGCCATGTTTGCTTGAGTGAAATATTTCTAAATGTTAGCCACAGTGGCTCACATTTACACAGAAAATGACAGAGATTCAAAGGAAAAAAAGAGGAGGAAAAGATGATAATTTGATCCTTATTTATTTATGATGTCAGGCCTGTGACATGTTGTCGTTGAAAACATGCCAAGGTGAGCAGATCAGGCGATGAAGGCAATGATTTTGCGCAAGAGGTAAAGAGACTCGCTCATCAACCAAAATAATAAATAGACAAATATCAAGAAAAACACAAAAAAGTGAGGAAATTCATGACCCCTGTAGCACTGGGGTGTATTTTTACTTCACAGAAATTTTTTTTAACTCCGCTTGTTAACCTCTTTTCTATTAAATACAGGCGAACACAGTGGCGTAAATTGGATGGATCATTCATGATTAAGCGTTTTGTACACACTGACTTTATTCATAAGATCTAATGAAGTCCAACGTCATCATATCAATACATGTGATTGTTTTGGTGATGATTAATGAATGAACGAGACACTGGACCTCCGTCTCTTCCCGATCGGATGATGTTTTGTCTTTATTTTTTCTGTATTTTTTTTCTCTCTCCCCACATCTGTTCATCTGGCGATTCGAAAAGCAGAACACTATTTGATTCTTGCCTTTGCGGGCACAGCTTGTTTAAAGGCACTTTAAACACGTCCACAGTTCAAACGTGGCATACACCGTCCTGGCAGTGCTGGGAACAAACATGTGAGAGTGAACAGGTGCCTGCAGGAAAGTAACCAACAAGCAAATACATTAAAAAAATAAATAAATGGTGACACAAACAGAAATGATTTAGGCAATTAAGCAGCAGGAAACCAGAGCCCTGGTTTATTTTAGATCTCAGTGATGTATTCATATTTAATACTTGTTTCCTCTTTTTGAAGCACATATGTTTAAAGTTATAAGTTAAACAAGCGTATTAAAAAGCTATTTGACGCGCGCTGTGGGTCTAGTGAGGAAAGATCTCCCCAGGCTCACATTACGTTGTGCAAACAAGTTTCAGTCGTGCCAAATCATAAGCGAGGATCCAGTGTAAGGCACAGATCTTATCAAAGCTGGATTACCAGGAGCGATCCTCTGTGTTTGAGAATACAGAAGCAACGTTCAGGAAATTAGCTTTGGTAGGATTTACCCCCAAAAAATAAATAAATAAATAAAAGCAACAAAAAGAAAACAGAAACAATTTGATATTTTGTCTATTAATGTATTTAGTGTATTATATGCTGTGGGGGAATTAAAGAAAGCGCAGTAGCAATTATTAAAATCTTGGCAGAGTCACGAAAGCTAAAAGAAGAAAAGGCAGCAATTAAAGTCTCTGTTTGTCATAATGAACATAATCAAACAGCATGTGTTAATAAGCAATACCAAATACAATGACTACATATATGTCCGCTTAGTTTGGTTTGTACATTTGGAAAAGCTTCTTACTAACCACAGAAATTATTCCTAACTGAAT